ACTAAACCTTGAGTTCTGTCAGCGACACAGAACACAATCCGAGGAGCAAAATAGTTTCTTTGAAAAGTGTCTAATAGCAGGCGAATTTTGCCGAGTAACGTCTAATTGATTTTTACATTTGCAGTAAGAGTTTTCGACTACTTCGAATTTGCTATTGGCCGTTACTTAAGCAAACAGAGATTTGATGCTGAAATGTTGGCACATGTATTTAGCAAATATCTGTTGTTTGAGCTGAATATAGAAGCCGTCGATTTCTATCCGAAATTTATTGTATGGAGTAAAAAATCACGAATTGACAATACTCCTTCACCCACGCACACATGGAAAATGCCACGCACTACAAACGCGTGGCATGGCTCGTGTTTTCTTTCACTGCTCGTGCGACACCAGACGCGCTCACGCGCGCAATGTAATAAATATCTAATCACAATTTTGCCATGGTTACACAAAATAGTTAACCTTGCCTTCCAAATCGATTAGAGAAAAACAAATTGATTGTCTGTGGTGTAGAATTACCGAATGAATCAGATTTTTCTAATTTAGAATGCGAAAATAAAACCGACTTAGAGAATTTAACTGATAATTTTTTTTCATTTTATCCGAGGTCAATACATTTAGCGCAAAAAAAGGATATTTTGACTCCGAAAACGATCAATTCTCTAAAAGCCATAGAGCGTAATTACCCATCTATTTTTAACAAATTTGTTCTAATGTAGAAGGACACCTAAAAACGCCCGAAGGCTTTTTTTAAAGCTTTAATCATTTTTCCGTTGAGGGCGGATTTGCGAGCTGAACAGGAAACTTTCACCGGCTCCTTAAATACAAACAAAAAGGATACAAATTAATTTTCTCAAATTACCAAATTAAATAAATGTTCTTTGATAGTTTAAATGGCCCTCAAAGATGCAAATTTGATTCCCTTTCAAATTAGACAAAGGCAGTTTTTAAAAGAAGTTTTTTTGAAGCTTTCCGAAAGGATGCATGCACAACATACTGTTTGGAATAATCAAACCGAACCGACAACTTTCAATGGGTTTTTTTGGCACTTAGGTTCATTTCCGATTAGGCATCATTCTATAATTAAAATCTTGAATTTTCATAAGCGGTTTCAAGTAGAAAACGAATTTATTTGCCAAAGGGGAATAGTTGTTTTACCGGAAATTAATATGTTCACATTTATTAGTCTTCTTTTGCGAATTAGGAACCGATTCACCTGTCCTTTTGGCTTGTTTGTCGTTCATAACCAATTCATTTATTTCGTATGAAACTTTCAAGCTAACGATGTTAACGCGCAATTTATTTTACTCATTTTGCCCGTTACACGATGGATTCCTGATTGATCACAAAGAATCAAGGATCTTTTGTAACAGGAGACGAAGATAAATCGAAAATGACTTTTGTTTGTGCAGAATAATAGCACACGCCCATCGCTTACCTTGAAGTAAAAAGACTGTACACAAAGCTAAATGTTTCGGGCGAGTGAAAAGGTTTTTCTGCCAGGAAGGTAAGAAATCTCAAAAAACCACGCAAAGTTTTGGATAAGTTTTGCTAATTTGGTTCATACGTATCTTTTCGAAGTGTGTCTTTATCCGCCGAAAACACTTTCTCTTGTTTAGTTTTGGTTTCAAATTGTGTCATGGATACTAGTATAAACATATTGGCTATTTTGGCGAGCTAAAAATATAGAGCTGGTTACCTGAGAAACGTGGCGCAGGCAGAATGAGAATTTAAAATTATGGAGAAGTCGAAGTGTCAAATGACTAATGGTTTTCGTAATTGAATATTATTGAAATAAAAGACTATTCACTCTAAAAGCCTGTATAGTGTGATACCTAAATCGACATCGAAGTTTTGTTAAATTGGAGAAGCGAATTCTACTCTGAAAAAGGGGAAAATTTGATCCTGAAGGAGGGGTGTTAATTTTTAGCGATTTTTGTGCCTGCTGTCAATGCAGACGTACTAAAAAATACGCTTTTTATTTCTTGCACAATACGGAAAATTACAAAGATTGCAATAATTAAATATCACGACTTTTCCTTCTACCTGTGGGGCCCATCTATAATTACTGGAGGCCTTGTTCGTGACAGAAAGGTTAGAAGAAGCTTTCAAAACATCCAAAACTGTTTCTAAATTAATATCAATATTTAAACATCTCGATGTTTCATTCGATACCCACGGAGAGATATAATGACATCAAGCTGGGCTAAAACGGGCTGCGATGAGATTTTAATATTCACTGACATCTTCCCTCATCATGAATTGACATTTAAAAGCCATTTTTCCTCAAGAGAAATATTTTTTTTTTCATTGCAAAGGATACGTTTCAAATTACGTTTTGGAGATTAACTCATGAAAAAGACAAAACCAGATTCTTGTTGCAGAAAGATATGAAGAAAATAATACCAAAAAAAAAGAACAAAACGAAACAAAAAGGAAAGCACGAGGAGTGGGTCTGTTTCGTACAAATGTATCTCCTCTCCGTCTTCGTTTTACAAATGAACTTTAAATTAATGACTTGCAGTTTGACAAGGCCAAGGGCAGGTGCTGGCATTTTTCTTTACCAAAGTATTGAGCTTGAAATATGGTCTCGTTTAAAGCCGACTTGGAAAGCCATATCAGCAGTAATTACCCATTAAAAAGATGCAATCTATACCGGCGGGTTTTACATAATATGTTTTCTTCTAATAGCCGGCGGATACAACAAAAGCAAAAAAATCGCTGAGCCCATGCAAGGAAATAATCAACTTTACCCTCAATTTACTTTCCGAAATGTAAAGTAAACTACTATGTGCATTTCCTATGGTATTAATGCGAAATATCTTCCTGTGTGGAGGGTTTCACCAAAACGCAGCATAGAAAGTTAATACAACAATAAAGAGTGCGATATTTTAATTTGTAACGTGTTTGCAAAATTTCAAGTGCTTTTCTAATTTCTGGCAAACAGCCTTGAAATTTTAGCTGAAAATTTCGCTGAAACGTTGTCATGTGAATACCGTTTATTAGCATAGTTAAAATGTCGGCATTTGCGGCGCAATTCGGTGAGTAATCAAGACTGTGTTCTCTCGCGAGATTATTTCATTTAAGACTTCATAAGCTGTTCTCAATAAGTGAAAGGATCGAGGGGATTATTCAGATTTTTATTCTAAAACTCTTTCTCGGAAAACATTTTCAACTTAACTGCCAAAGGGGAAAAACGATGAAATACTCTCTTTTATAGTGAATGACCTTGTTGCGGGAAAGTTCGTCTTTTTTTTCCTGTGTGTTTTTGTTTGTCCCTTTAAAGTATCGCATCTATATTACCGCCATCGTAAGGCAGAAGTGCCTTTACGCTTGACAAATTATAGTCCTACAAGATAACTACTGAAATTACACCCTTTCATGCTATGCTAATTCGTTCCCTTAAAATAAACTCAACTCTTGACGTCCCAAAGTTTCTTTGCTCTAAACTCTTACGATTTAAATTTTATGATTTTTCCCTTCAATGCCTTCGAAAAGCTAGCTTGTCGAATCCGTATTCCACCGAGGATTAACTAATTTGACGTGGATTGTTTTAAGCATTGATTACTAAAAGGCACGATTTTCTTTCTATTTCTATCTTGATGGAAAATTTTGGAAGTCATTTGCAACTGCAAGTTCCCTTCTGCGATAAAATCCTCTAGCGTGATTTTGTTTTTTATTCAAAAACTCTGTCACAAATTCGAGGAGAACTGAGCAATTTTAAGGAAACTGAAAGAAACCCCAATTAAGTTTATTTATAACTTGTTTTGTTGCCACGTAAGGAAGAACCCGGGAAGTTTTCACGATAAAGGGTCCGAATAAAACCCGTATCGCCCGCCTACAATTAACAAAGTTATTTACTCGGTTGGGTGTCATTTGACCACACTAGAAAAGAATTAAAACTTCTGTTTCGCGTTTGACAGTTTTCCCATCCTCTAACAGGGCGATTTCAATTCGTAAAACTCGTGTGTATTCTTTATTATGCCAAACGAAAACGAGTCAATGTTTGAGCTAATTGTAGGTGTCAAAGTGTGTAGAGGCTAACGAAAGTAAGATTAACAAACTGAATACTTGGCGTCTAACCGCAGCTCGCGCGTCATTCCACAAAGTACCCGCTCGTAAACAAAGTTTGTGGCATGTTAAATTGACATTTAAATGCGTGCAAACGAATCCCCCGCTTATAAATCTCCATTTAAGCATTGCCAATTGTCGAATATTCGAAATTGATGAATCACCCCGAGCGAAGTGTCAGCTCGAATCATAATGTCAGAAAAGTTGCAGCTCGGAAAGAGAAACCAGAAATCAGTTCGCTAATTCAGTTTTTACTCTGGATGTTTCTGGTTGTTCGTTTGGGTATACTTTTTTTATACATTCTCTAAAACGGAGAGGAAAACGTAAATCAATACCCTTCATTCGAAATGGATACTGCACAATTGCGGTTTAAAATCTACAGGTGGAAATGTTAACAGTTTGACTCTATGAAATAATTATGTTCCATTTTGGAGAAAACTTTCGAATTTTTAAAAAAAAAAAAAATGGAGGAAGATTCTTCAGATGATTTTGTCGTAGCCTTGGTAAAGGGTGTTCCTGATGACCTAAAATTTTATCCGAAAGAAAAGTAATTAATTTCAATTAAATAGAGGCTCCTCGCCAGGCTGAAACTACAAGATTGCCATTTTCTGCTCATGATCAAACAAAGGGACACAACAAGTGCTGCTAATTTGATCGCACCGGGAAATGTGAAAACAGAATTCAGAGAAATGTTCTGAACTCGCTAAATTACCATATTTTCATTTCTTAGGCCCTATCCTCGTGCTTGAATACCAAATAAACGACAACAAAATGATTTGAGTGCTGCGATACATTTCGATTTTAAGCTCTGAATTGAACCGGAATATAAAAAAATTTTACACTACCAGCAAAAGTCTGTAATCCCAGTTAAATACTATAAATTTAAGGAGGCCGAGTCACTCGCTTTTCATCAATTCAGATTTCTTTTTATTTGGAAGAACCAATGGCCTTTCATTACTAAAGACCCTCGTTAATTTTTTTTACAACAATTAGACTGAACATATGTTCTTGAAGTACTTTGTACATCCTTGGTTCCTGAAATACAAACTGTACTTGCCTGATACTAGCAATACAGATACAAAAGAAGACATGCGTGATCGATCGTTCTTTCATATATTTACGACTCTGATAAATCCTTCTGATGTCGAATGCAGTTCGAGGTGATGATTATCGTGTCTTATCGCGTGGATGTGACAGAGTCGATGCATTTCACCAAGAAATTAATTAGCCTTATAATGAATTATCCGATTAACGCAGCCATTTTAGACACCTTTTTGTTCCGTTAAACTATTGTACAAAAAAAGTCGTTACCTTCTACAATTCTCTACATATTTACATGTACGTAATTTGCTGTCTTTTAGAGGACGCAGAAATAATCAACGGGACCACTCTAACTTGAAGGGGAAAGCGGGCTTTGAGTGCTTTCTGTCACTTGGTGTTGGGCAGCTTTTTTGTCCTTTTTCCATTTGACTCGGCGATTCTGGAACCAGATCTTAACTTGTTTCTCGGATAAATCTAAAAGTGCAGCGATTTGAATCCTGCGAAGGCGGGAGAGGTATCTGTTCTGGCTGAATTCTTTTTCGAGCTCCAGTAACTGCATGCTTGTGTATGCTGTACGAATGCGTTTTGATCTTGAATTTCCCCTGTTCACATTATTCGGCTCAGCGGCTCGGGAAACTGTCAAGCAAAATAGGAAAAAGAAAAAATAAGTTAAACGAGCTTTATCGCAAGGCACAATCGAGCATGTGTACAGATAAAAAAGTGAAAATTCAAGATTCAAAGGCTTGAAGTGTGCCAAGGTTTAACCAAAACACCTGTCGCCAGATTAGATAATGTGGCTTCTCCGAGTAAAAAAAGGTATCGAGTTGAGGATAAAAAAAAATTACAGATAATTACCGTATGACACTAAGCGAAGGCGATCTTCTTCGCTGCTTGCATAGTGAGGCTGTAAATGAGCATGTTCCGCTTTCAGAAACTCGGCTTTTGAGTACAGGCTCGCTGCATCAGGTATGGTTGCTCCGCGGACGTGTAAAAACGGATGAACCGCAGGACTTGTTGGAATACAGAGCTGACATAATCCTGAGGCTTCCGATTGCGAAGGAGTCCAACAGCAAGAACAGGGAACAGTTGGCTCGAAGCTGCGTCTTGTTTCTGAGATAGAAGCGCTGGAACTTTTCGGTTTACTGCTTTGGATTAGCGACTCGATGTAAAAGGAGGAACTCATGATGTTGACCCGTGCGCGACAAGGAACTCGCTAGTTGTGTCGGTGTCAGCTATAATGAGGCATATATAGTGTTATGCGCACGTGGCCAATGTTGCCAAATTATGTTCACCATTGTGCGAATCATAATGGAATATCATAAATAATGAACGAATTTGAAAGCTTTAGAAAAACAGTTTAAAGCACGCTTAATTACTGATACAGCCATTCAAAATCAGCCAATGATTACCTAGTTGGGGGCGGGGTATAACTCCAGTGCTTGTTTCAGTTCTCCTTCTCAACCAGGAGATTTGCTTCATCGAACGCAATCATTTGATCGACAAGCGCCCTGAACACAAGCTTCGTAATCTGCTGCACCTAACATCCACCAGTAGAATTAATCACGATAGTGGCCCCATGATGTTCTTTTTAAAACCTGTCTTTGCCCTGTTTCACCTGCGAGCAGTTGATGACATTTCTATTTCCAATTGTTAACTATTCACTCGGCCTTTTTGGTGTCAATGTAATTAACTTTTCATCTATGTTCTTGCAAGCACCATTGTGAGAAAGTTTAGTTTGCGCCGACTGACAATCACACATCCTGTATAATAACAAACAGCTCTTTCTTCCAAACGCGAAGATCCGGTTCGTGAATTAAACCCCATATAAGAAGACAAACAACCTCAAATTCATTTATTTTCAGAGGATATTCCCCACTTTTTCTGTTACAAAATTATCAATTTTGACTCTCAACTCTTAAAGCTTCTGGAAATGTTACGCGTGCCAAGCGCCGTGAGCTTTACGATCCTAATCAAGATTGTTTTCAAAATCCCTGCAGTATCATTATTTTGTGCACTTATTTGCTTAACAGTCACAAAATAAATTGAATTTTTTCAAATAAAGTCCCCAGGCAAAATAATTGTTTAGCGAAGTTTAATTTTATTTCTGCTTGAGGGGGAACTTATCTCGGTGCTTTTAGAGTGTCTTAATTTTTTTCAGTCGCTTCTTAAGAAACACATCTTTTCACTTTGATGCAAAAAGCTTTCGGGGCGCTCCTTTCCTGCAGTTGTAAATGAAGATTTAAATTGCAAAAATTCTAACTCTCAGAAAACAAATGCTGTTTAATAGACCTGGCAATAATACTTGTTGCAAAATTAAAAAGTCGAACCTGCACCTTGCCTGCGCAAAATGAATATTAAAAATGAGCTATGAAAACCTTATGGGCAGGCTTCAGCGCTAATCGAAGTAAATACCTTTTGTAAATAAAATTGCGCGCGCTAAATTAGCCAAATATTTTTTTGGAATGTTTTGGCCTAGAACTTTCTGATGCGTTTTCGAAAGCCCTGAATCAGACTACTACCTGTACATCAGGCAAAAGAATACCCCCCACAAGTTTGCTTTACGTAGATTTTACTGATATTAATAGCTAAGAACCAATTTGAAAAACGACCGCGCGCTTCTCGTCAACAAGTACCTTAAAGCCTGGCTAATAAATTGCGCTCAAAGACTGCACGCTGTTTAAATATTAAGGAATCAAATAAACTGGCACAGGTTATTAACACAGAGTAATTATTCAATAGGATACATTTTGCATTACAGACTATAATTAGCTATTCTATTTTGATTTACGCGTTCGCATTTTCAGCTCATTTTACAGTTGTACAACGGCTCTGAAAAGTACAATTGTGGTATGGTGAATTTCAGCGAAATTAATTTTGCTTCGTATTCACATCATTAAATTTTGTGTTTACCCATTTAATTACCTTTAATCTCTCCGGAAGGTTCCTTTTCGCGCTAACTACGGAGGAATAAGGTTTAACCTTGCATCCCTCTTTAAACAGAAGTTTTACAGGAAATTAGCTTAGTTTGTGTAAACATTATTTGGATGATGACTCCGGCTGCAAGTAACACAGAAATTGTCGATAGCATTCAAAGTAAATACAGGAAAAGGTAATAACCTGTTACTGGAACAAATAAAGAACGTTACTTTTTTCAAAGTAAGCCGGACATAGCCTACAAAATGTGAACAGTACTTTCCTTCCCGGGGAAGCGATCGATCACCAAAACATTCCCTTTATTTGTCCTTCCTTAAACTATGATAACAGAACCGCGTATAGAGTTTTTATTTCAATCCATACTTGCGTAACGGCCGAAAGATTCAGCAACTCTTTTTTTTGGGTTTTGTTTCAGCGATTTCAAGAATAATTTTCCCTCCATCATCGCGGAAATGTCCTGCATTTTTAGCGGTTTCCATGAAGACTACTCTAAACAGAGAAGGGTAATTAGGTTTTTAAGTGTCCGCGCGCGTGCCGTTCGATCTCCGTGTATGTATAATCTTTTGCTCGCGAATCAAAACAAATCTAGTCTTAGATCTCTGTCAAAAAAATGAGAAAGTATTTTCTTTTACTAGAACATTATAATTGGACACAACAGAGTTTAGGCGTGCAGTAGTTAAAGCACGGGTAAATTAACTTAAAAAAAGATATAATTTTTAATGCGTTGAAAACAGTGGGACTTATTTATATCCTGTGGGGTGATAACAAAATATTTGGAAAAGCTCAACTCACTAGGAGACTTCTGAATTGACAATAGATCTCTAAAAGAATGATCAAGAATATTTTAATCTTCGTAGATTGTGGTTTTGGGACAATTTGTGGTCAAAAGCGAGCCAGTTAATCGTCGTGATTAGGAGATTGTTTATATGGAGAGTATTTTCACGTCAGTAGAAGAAAACTTTGCACTGTCGTCTAAACTACCTGCGGCTTGATTCAAATCCTAATTGAAACGAACGTGTAAACGCACAAGGCCAAACCGTTAATTAAAGTTTGTTATTGTGTTATCGGCTAGAATCACGTTGGAAGGAAAAAAGAGGTTGAAAACGAGCGACGCACTTTACGAATAACTTTTGGGAACACTCTCCTGGTACATCTGTCACCATTATACCTTAAGCTCTTCACTGGGATTTCATCTTGTTTCACTCGCATGGTTACAAAATATCGAATCCTGATTTGGCAGATGTTTTTATTTTGCACCTTTTGAAAGGAATTACTGCTGAAAGTATTCATATATGAGAAAAAGCTATAGAATGACTCAATTAAGTGGAGTAATTACCGACACAGCTTGTGAACTTGGTTAATCTACCCGAACCCGTCTTTCTTTTTTATCTTTTTTCTTTTTTAAGCGTGCTATCCTAGGACTTGTAAAAAAGGCTGTAGCTATGAAAACGTGATAGTTTTGTTTTGTGTTGTTTCCTTGAAAAGTCTTATGCCTGCCAAAACGACAGGTATCATTGTACTTTTAATAAATGATAGGATCGGTTATTTAGTTCAAAGTTTATAAACGCCAACTCAATTAAACTCAGAACAGATAGTGGATTTTTATTACTAGTGACTCGAGCGATGCGCACACCTTGCTCATTAGATTAAATTGTTTTTTTGTGAATAGCCCAAAAGAATAAACCAAAAATTAGACTAACTCGGAATTTTAAATGAAGTTTTCACCTTGCAAAACTTGATCACAATGATCCAACGCACGGAAAATCATCACAACCTGAGCATCTAAAAGTTTATTCACGTGCAGAAAAAAAAATGACGAGGAAGGCAAAATCTATCTTTTTCATTCCATATTTTGACGGGCATTTTTAAGTTTGTCCTGTCGGCGAAAAAACAAAGAAAGTAAACAACGGAAATTTGGCTCTCAGTAGTGGCTATCTAGCGTTTAGCAGGTGAAAATAGGTCGGTTGTTTGTGAAGAAAGCTGGTCGCTCGAGCTCATGACAATTTGTACATTACGTTCTGTGAGTACAAACTCTACTAGCTTAATGATTTTGGCGTACTCGGTGAACAATGAAAGGTGCCTAAATTAGTCATTCAATAAACTACTTAATGCAGTTTTATCAAGAATTTCACCATTTTGCCTCACCAAAACAAGAAAGGGAAGCGATATTAATATTTTACTAAGTGGCGATGAGACTAAATTCACAAATACTTGCTGAATTAAAACTTTATCATATCTTTTCGAAGGTGGGTTGAAAAAACTTGTGAAATTCCAAGCTATCCCTCCAAAACCTGTCTCGACTTTACTGTGATAAGAGCTTGGTGCAAATTTTTGAATGGATTGTAAATCTGTGAAGAAACGAATTTTAAGTATCTTTTATGATCAAGTTTATTTCAACGAAAACTGCCTGAAAAATTAATGAAGAGAAGTTGAAGATGATAAAGAGACAAAGCTGGTAAATAACCAAAGTAAGAACTTAGCCGGAGAAATTAATCGATCAAGGAAAGAAATTTGCTTTCCCAACCCACGAAGGATAACAGTCAAAATTTATAATTGAAGCACACATTGCCGAATATCAATTTTGAGATCATTGAAGAAATTAAGCTTGAAAACACTGAACAATTTTTGTTTTTGAATTTATGTCGCAACGAATAAATGCAGCAAATGTCAGATAAAATAATCAAGGTATTGAAGACAAGAACGATTAATTTTCATCATATTTTCTCCCGAAAAGAATAACCTTACTTATTAAGCGTTAGAAAACAACTTACAAATTCTGTAATGAGATTTCGACTGTCATGATTTGAACCAAATTGTTATCCGACAGTTAAAATTTCACAACTTTCATCATAAATACCACAGTGGGGCAAATTATCTCAGTTTCTAGAACATTAAGGCAAAGCAATGTTCAGTCGAACTGGAATCACGTTAAGTTACCAAAAAATAATATTCAATTTTATAAATTTCAGTAAAGCATTTAGTATGCGCGCAATGTTAGCCATGAGAAGCTGTCTGATATGAGTTTTGACTTTTTTTAAAAATATTTTCCGTTGACCTCTGTATTTAGGCAATATCAATTCGAAGTACTCGCAAGGAGGAGAAGGTAAATTCCCTTAGACACTTGAGAAAAGGAGTGATAGTGACAAATACATTTTCGAAATATTAGTCACTGCAATAAGATTCATTGAACAGAACAGGAGCCGCTTGTTTTGTCGAAGAAACAACGGTTATTTTTAAATGAAGAGCCTTGAAAGACAAAGTTTAGTTGCGAAGAGAGAATAATTTTTATCAAATATTACGCAGTGACAGGGAAAAAGCGAAACTGTTCTTTGATATCGAATAGAAAAAATAAACATTGCTCTAACGCAAAAGCTACTGAAAACATAACACAATAGCTGATTTCATGTACCTCGAACAAACAAGATATGAAAACAGGAAGGGATCGGAAGGAAGGAAGGAAGGACTGAGCAATCACATATAAAGGAAGCACGTAAGTAAATAAAAATTATGTAGAAAGTGAGAAGAGATGGACTCAGGGAAGCGGTGGGGAAAACTTGGCAAGTAATTTTTTTATAGCAAGTAGCGTACTGACAGTTTAGCCATTGTTTCGCCACTTTTAAAAGGTTTAATTCTAGATCAAACATACTTTGCTATCGGTTTCTTGTCTAGTTGTACAGCTACGGGACTTCGTTTACGTCTTGCGAAGTGAAGAAGAGTCTTCGTTTTTTTCTTCCTTCAATATGTCTTTGTTAACCGAAGTTTAGCTGAGATTTAAGATTCGAAATAACTGCGGTGGATTTTCGAAGCTTCTCCGATTGAAAATGGTAAATCATTGTGAACTCAAACAAATATGCTTATCTGTTAAGTTGATGAATCGATACTAAGTACTGTTTCTTCCGGGGTTCGAGGTGTTGAAGAAATCCTTTCAAAGAAAACTTGGAAAATAAAAAAACGATAGAATTTAATCAGGTATGTGAACTATTCGGCACCATTTCGTGCGTCTTTGTGTTCGAGATTGATGGATACGTGATTCACAACTTCATAAGAGCTTCGTTCTTCGCAGTGGGGAGCCAAAACACTTCAAGGAACCTGTCATGAGGGACTTTATTCCACGTGTGAGAAGTAATCAGCAGATCAAAAGTCGAGAAGTCAAATTAGCAGCATCAATGTGTACCTGTAAGGAGGAATTGTATTCAATATGTTTCTGACCATTAAAACGCCTGTACAATGAACACAAGCTTTTATTTAATGATGCAGTCTTGAATACATCGTTTTAAAGGTTTTCTATAGAAAATCCAACTCGATTGGCTGCAGAATGAACAAAGTATGGTTAGTCGCCTAGACGAAGAGAATACGCTTCTGGAAAGAAGTCGTCTTATTTTCGGCTCAATGCACAATAATAAATATCTTAGTGTGAGTTTTGCGGTAGATTACAAACGTAACCAAATTTCTTTGTTCATTGATATTGTTTTCTTCTAGGCGCAAACGGAAAGAAACATTGACATGGACAGTCCTGATTTACTGTTTCATTCAACCGACAAATTATTTTCTATTCTTTTGTTCGTTGTTTTGTACCGAAAGGCGGCACAGATCAGAAACGTGTTTTTTGTTTTGGCCACAAAAAGGTTAGTAACACGCGATGTGCTTTTTGTTGGTTACACAGCATTATTACCGGATAGAAAGGATGACAAAACTAACGAATTACGAGTACTTCAAAAATGGCTTTACACGTGCCGCAGACATAAACTAGCCATTCGTGTACAGAATAAAAATAGATTCAAATCGTCCTAGTTGGAGCGCTATTTTTTTAAAACTTCAGAAGAAAGCCATTTAAAATCCGCGTGGAGAGATACCACGGGGTTTAAATCGAGTTCAGGGTGACTTTTAAAATTTAAAAAGATAACAGCACGATGCTTTTACTGGAATCTCAAAATTGCAAAGCTTTAAAATGCTGAAAAAGATGTTCAAATTTAAATACCAAATATTGACCTTGGAAAATGTGTGGAAATTTTGAGCAAGTTGTTTGCCCAGGAGCCGTAAAGTAAATATTGTTGAAAGGAACAGCTATAGTAAGTATCACGGTCGACATTTCGGCCCAAATAAGCCGATCAATGCCTGTTCATCGATATTTTCCAGTGATTAACAGGGCAATAATGACGCCAAAACACAGGTAATGTTAAATTGGGTGACTGCAAACAAGAATTATGCCGAGGTGAGAAATAATTTCGTTTCATTAGGAGCCTCATTGGCCACTGACCTTTTGCACTGCACGCGGTTAAGTAATTAGCGGGGACCGCTGAGACAATGCTAGCACACACTTGCTCTTAGCCCTGTGCCAAGTCTTTGAAATTCTTTCAACAAGCCATCTGCCTTGATTTGCTGGTGCCTTCGATTCGCTGGCAAACAAAACAAGGTATTCCAGTTGAGTAAATCACCAGTCTAGAACAGAATAGGGGCATGATGTGCTCGGTTTGTTTACGAAGTGCTCTACCTGCACCTGACATCTGCCGTTCGTCAAGAACAACCTGTGCAGATTTTCCAGAACACGTTGTGCAGAACGTTACCTTCATAGATGACCTTGATCTCTATTTTTAATTGATTTGTTTATCAACTGATTTATTTTTAACCCTCTTGGGCCGATCATATTTTTCCATACAAACAAAAACCTGCGTATTTTGTCTTGCTTACCAGCGAGAATCAGCGAACAAGTTACACAAAAGACCACTAACTCTTTTATCACAATAAATTATCTAACTGATCTACACCGGCTGTCTTAAGTACTGGGGAGCTTGATCACATACTTTCCAATGAAATTGTTTGGCTGAAGTTCTGTCTGTTCACCGTCAACCTTTTAATGACTCAGTTAAAGTTGAGCGGGCCCCCCAATTTTTGTTTATCGGCTAAAATAACTTTAATCCGAAAGCTACCAAATGCACTCGTGGGATTAGGGTATTTAACATAACTACATAACATGTACACAATTCTTGTTATTTTTTTATTCGATTTAGTTATGAGTTACACCATTGGAGTATTTTCAAATCTGTTCAACGTGCACATCATGGAGACATATTTACCCTTTTGACGTTTCTGAAAGAATAATTAAGTACAGAATAGATTTACACTGAAGAAGGTTATTCCGGTGTCGTGTTCAATCCGGAACGTTTAGGTACCGCGTCCGTTTTACTGTTAAGATACCAGTAAAAAAATTGGCTACGACTCTGGAGATTTTGAATCTGGAGTTTAACTTGAAGTGAGAACTTTGTAACCGAACTTACAATCCAAAACATTGTGGTGTAAATAATTTTTTTATGAATTCGAATGTTACCTAGACTTCTTGTTTTTTTTCTTTACTTCATAAGATGGTCTACTTCTAGTTACAGAAATCATCTTACAAAACCTTTCCCATTTTTCTGGTTGCTTGGAAACCCCTCAATATTACTTTAAGTGTCTTTTACGAAGAATGGGAACAGCCTTAGGGCCTTGGAAAAATTTCAAGTTATTTCGTCACATGTTGAACCAAAACAATTGTTGAGACAGTTGAATCAGTTTTAAACTCTACGTTATAGGACGCCAATCGAGCTAAAGAAGAACCGAGTAAGGACAGTTTCGGCGAGTAATTTCACCGCATTCACCAATGTGTAAAAGCAGTTGAGAATCGGAATGCCTCGTAGTGAAAACTTCTACGGATCCAAATACCATACACAGTGACAGGTCTGGTATCATTTTCCGGATTTGTTTTGCCAATTACACACATTTGATGGCAGTCCAGTCTAGCCATGCGAATCCGGTGATTTACAATGCAATAGAATTAACACAGCCACCTTCTTTTTTACCTCGCGGCTGTAATTCTTAAGTTTAAAAACATACTTTTTTTTAATGACCACAACACGTGTTCATGAATTTTAGTGATTTGTTTTCGTCGGAATGGCAATAACTTGAGAGAACGTTTGGAGCATACCAAAATTTTTAACACTGAAAAAAAAAATCCTCTAGCTATGTGGTCTCAGAACCTCGAGACGTAGAAGACATGCCGGCCATTGGTTAGTTTACTGAATCCCGCCGGATTTGGAACCCCGATTTCAGCCCCCTTAGGTACGTCTCTTGAAAGTCCCGCCGGGGTCGAAGGATTTTGGTTGTGTCACGTGATGCCCCCCTAAGACTCTGTAGTATATAATGATTCCCCCTCAATGGCAGTTTCTGTCCCCCCTTTAACCTCTGTTAACGACGGCTGATAGTCGTAATCGGCTGATGCTCTAGTCCCACCCTCCTCCTCTTATGAAGAGGTAGGTCGCCGGTCTATAAGAAATTGCTGTTCCTCAGTTGGAAACCTCAGTCAGATAATAGTTTGTCGTGGTTAGTAAGGGCCGTGAAGGCAAAATGGAGCACGGATATTGTAGAGAAAGAGCAGTGAAACACGAAGTTTATATAGAGAACAAAACCGTGAAACAACGACAAAAACAGCACTAGAGCAAAATAAAATCTAAGTGAACATTTCCAAGTTGCAGGAAAACCTCAACTTTTACGCATGACTTCTTGGTTGGATGTAAGTTAACCCGTTGAGAGGAACGCAAAAATGGTTGCGTTGACAGCACCTCAGGATTTATACGGTACCCCGCGCCTCGTAATTCCCCTCCTCAGTTCTTAGATAGCTCCCAGGACCTCTCAGCTGTCTTGGTCTCAGGGCACTTCTCTATCTCTCGCCCGCCCGCTATGTTTTTATAGCGGCTTTTTTTACTTGGGGCATGCGCTAATTTAACCAAAATCCAAAATGGCCGATTTGGTGAGTGGCTTTCCTATTCAATTTTTTAGAACTTTTATTCTAATTTTTATTTTCTTGGAACGTTCGCACTAGTTTTAGACTGTTGCAGAAAGTTTCATATGTTTTTGAATAAGTGTCATGAAGTTAAGTTTCCGTGAACTCCCTTGATCTAATCCCTATTTCCAGTATGTGTCAAGAAAATTTTTTTCGCTGTGTCATGTGCTTCGGTGAAAGTTGTAAATGTTGTGTTTTAAATAGATAAGCTAATCCTCAATAGTAAATCCCGACAAGGGAGTCTATAAAAATGATGCAAGGGGTAAGTTTCTAAAGAAACTGTGGTGCTGCGTCGTTAGGGGAGTATAACAGGGTAATTTAGTATTATCAACTGAGTTGATAACGTAAATTGGCCACCGTAAAGAGTTTCAAAGCTGAAGTTTCGAGCGTTAGCCCTTCGTCAGAGCGAATGAAAAAGCGAATGATGCTCTTATTGTTGCGTTCAAGGACATATCAAGCACACATGGTCTGTGGACTTTTGATAAACTTGCATGCGATGCATACAGCTTAAAATGGGTTTTCATGGCAATAGCTTTTCTGCCTGCTTGACTCCCAAGAATGACTGCTCTGTTTTCAGTTGAAGGATTCACTCTTATTTTATCATACTCTCTCCATTGTTTAGTCTGCTCTGCCTGGCAAAGTCCAACCCATCACCGAAGTGAGTTCCTTGGTCAATAGCTATGGTGTACCAGATCAAATGAGAACAGGGTATGAGTACTTGTAGCTCTCTGCTTATCTTTATTTTACAATCTTCAAGGCAGCATTAACAAGTTGAAATGAAGAAAAAAGGTGAATCTATAGTAGTAAAGTTTAGCCATTAGAGGGTCTGGAAAAGAATCATTGACCTCTAAGAGATCAGACCACCTTGTAACAACTCAGTGAAACCCATGCAAGTGCATGTTATATATTGATTTTGTTGTCCAATGTTAACTGTAATTAGATCCTGTATTAAGCAGACACCTTGGTCTGTTTTGTGGTTGTGGAGAATCACAACTTGCTTTGAAGAGACCTGTTCAGATGGTGTGCTGTGAATCAAAATTTTAAGAGGCATTTTCATCAAAAACCTACCATTGGGGCATTATTTAGCCCTTAAGTCAATTTTCTAGAAGTTCTTTCCTTGAGAATCTTTTTTTTTTAATTTTCATTTCTGATGTATTAATTACATACTTTGTATTTTCAAGGTTCTCGAATGTTAAGAGTGGATTGATCACAAGCCATCCTTTAGAGGGTTCTGAGAAATATGTAAGTCAGTTGAAGATTTTGTAGAAAACCATTGAATGATCATAATGATTAGAGATGTTTGTAGAGTTTAAACCTTGGTGCACTTTTCAGAATAGATTAAATAGTAAGTTTATACAGCTCATCTAATAAAAGTTTTTTTGCAACATTTCCAGTCAGCCATTTACAGGAAATTACTCTTTCATTATATAGGGGTTGAGTTGGCCTTATGTTTTAATCCCAGTTTCTTCATGCTATGGAGATCGGAACAAGTTCCATTGTTTTGTATGCCCCTCAAGTTGGGTGCAGACACTCTAATCTTTCAAACTTTGGAGAGGCACTGCACAATGTGTGGACATGTTGAGATTGCTCAAGCCTTACATCCTCACTCCAATTAGTATAGGTAATCACATGATTTTGAGTACAATTTGGAATAAATAGGCATGAATAAATTTTTCCCAGACTAACAAAATTGCACAAGCCTGAAGGGCAAGTGCAATTTGTGGTCTTTGAAAACATTAACAAGTGCTTATTTATTCTAAATTGAGTGAGAAAAATCATGTGATTATGTATTAATAATATGCATGAAAAATTTTTAGATAGCTTATTATAATTATGCAGAGGTGAAGTGCATGCATCAAGTGCAAAAATAATCTATTCAAACACTGCAAGTGACATTGTGTGTTTGGTCAAAACAACCGAATATGATCAAAACAATAATATACAGTGATATTTCCACATCCTTAAGGCGCAAAAAAGTTCAAAGTCCAGCTAAACAGTTCAAGGAATTGTCGGTCTGGTTTGTTACTTCTTTGCACTGAATTAACCCCCTTTTTTGAATTACCTGAAAACTGCATTTATCTTAACCAATCAGAACTGAGTAATTTTTTCATGTATGTTATTATCGACCAAGTACTTCGTTAAGGCTGAAAATAGCACTGTATTAGTAATGTACATTGTACACTGTAAGTTGTTTTAGTACTAGCATGGCTAATCCTCCACATTTCCATGAACTTAGACATACTTGAAGCTTTTTGTTCTTTTAATGTATTTTGAAAACTGCATAATGTGGTAAAATAAGTGTCGTGTTTTTATTTTGACTAGTTTCTTCAAAATCAAGAATTGCTTGACTTTAAGATGCTGAGAAATACACAAGGTCTGCAGGCCCCACTTAAACTACAGATGGAAAGAGCTGTTGCATCGAAGGTATCAAAGAAACATTTTGATTATTTGCTTGTCTAGTTGTTGATTCACAAAGGACATTACCTTTATTATAACTTTTCGTGTGAATCTAGTGACAAACACAATAGATTTTGCAGTGACATGGTAGTGATTTAATAATCTTGTTCACTGTGGAGAATGCTGTACCTGATTCTCATTGTATCACTCATACTCCTGTCAACACAGATCCAGCGATTGCCTTGCCTGCCTAGCTCAATGGTTGCATTAGACTCTCTTTTGGGTACGGATGAAAGTATTGGATTTGATGATTTCTTAAATGGTGAGATACAAAGTTCTCTTTCACCTCTTGTTAAGGAATTTTGAACCCCTACAGTATATGACATGTTGAATCTTTAAATTAGTGTTGCCTCACAGTTAGCTGCTGAATGGTACTATATTGTAAATTCTTGCAGCAACAATTTTTAATACACATAAAAGTGCAGGCAGAGACAGGTGACAAGAAATTACTGACAAAGCAAGTTAACACACAGACTTGTCTTTGAGATTGAGCAGTTTGAAAAATTGGAGTTTTGGAAAGTGTTTTTTTTTTGTTGGCAGAGAGTTGAAGTACATTTTACCCAGGAAAGGTCTAGTGTGTAGACTTGGCTTTACCTTAGAACTCACATGTCGAAATGCAAAGTTTTTAACTAAGGGTAAATGTTTGACTGTGTTTTGTGTTTGTTTATTTCCAGTTCAAGGTGATTCTGAGGTCATGTCAGATCCTCATCTCACAATGGAAGACAAACTTGGTCTTCATTGAATTCTCTTTCTACTTTATAAATGCCCTTTTCTTTATACAAGTATAACTTAGTACATGCTGTGTAGTTACCTGTGAAGTTTATTTTGCTGTGAACAAGTTGCTGTAAAGTCACTCAAATGTAGGGAGTAGTGGAAAAGCTTTTAATACACTGGCTAGTTTATTTCAGTAAAAACAATGTTTGACCCTCAAACTCCTGAGATCCAAGAATTATTTTCCTGATTGACTGCAATATATTTCCTTGCAAATGAAACAAAATATTCCATTTCATATTAATATAACACCCTTTAGCTGATAAGCTTGTCTGTTCTTATAACTGGTTTGCAAGATAATGTCATGGGAGCACAATGAGAAGTTAAGAGAATCACTTTGGGAAGCTGAAGGGTTTAATGAGAAATGCAGTTGTGTAGGAGAAGCTGATCATTTGTGAAGGAATTGTCTGTCATGGTGAAAATGAAATAAAACTACATTTACAAATGTCAACAATGTTTTTAATGTCAGCGACAAATATATCAGTTCAATTATGTCTTTGCTTGAATAATTTAAAGAGGGATTTCCCCTCCCACTATCTTTCTTGCTAAGTACTTTGTATGGGACAAATATAGTGAATGTTGTTGTTCAATGGTTCATTGAATGTGGCAATGCGTGTAAAAATAATCATGTTACAGTTGCTTGTATTGTTAAATGTATTTGAAATACAAGACTTCTGATACCTGGGACTTCATGGCAACACTAGAAAATCTTTCCTTATCTAGATTTAGCCTCCTTCCCAATCTCAAGGGTTGTCATGCATTATGCACAGTGGAAAGTGTGGGGGGCCATAACAGTATCCCTCAAAATGTCCACCTAAAAAGGCTAACCCAAGTGACAAAAAAAAAAAAGACAAAAAAGACAAAAAAACCAAAATCCTAACTAAGCTGAGTGTTAACTAAGAAAATTGACGATAAAATATATGTATATCGAGGTATGGATGCTTGTGGAAAGTTTGGGGAGCTTGAGAGAAGCATAGGAGTAACTCTAGCTTCTTGAGCCAACTTTACAGTAATAACCATTATTCAGGCAATGGAATTCACAACAAACACTAGCACCATTTACAACGCAAGAGTTGAAGTGAAAAGGAGTCCTAAAATACATTAAGCACCCCAAGGTACAAGAACATATATAGATAAAGCTTTGAATGTAAAAAACTATATCAATTTTTCTATAAATACAAACAAATGAATGCATGTATGCTTTCATGTCAATAATAATATTTTCTTATGTACATAGGAACAGAGGTAAGTACCAATGCATGCTTGAATAAAGGAATCTCTTTCATCAATCATTCATAATTTTGTTAACTTTGTAATTACGTTAGAAACCTTTCCCTTTGAATACATCACAAGAATTGGAAGAATAGCTACCATAATATGATTACTATTTATAGTTAATACGATAAGGAACAATGGAGTACTAAGTAAATACACTTAAGACATAATTTTACAAATTACTAGTAAAGTTAGAAACCATTCCTTTCAAAATAAATTACAAGAATTGGAAAAGTAGTTAATTTACTCTAAACAGCTATTATCACAGTATAATTATTATTAATGGTGATGAAGTACAATGAAGTACGATGAAGTAATATAATTATAATACTATGTAAGTAATCTTCATGAGTAATTTTATAAATTGCTTGTAGGAAAGTGATGCAATGTGACTCTATGAGACAGCTCTTGTTTTCAATTCTTTCATATGCCCCATGTTCAAGAGTGTTGAAAGGTGTGCTCTTGTGTGCCACTTCAGCTAATAAAAGGGGTATTCTCATCATCCTGCAATATAAAATTGCATAAAAATTGAAATAAAATGTGGACAGTTTTGGACTGTAAACATAATGTAGTGCAATCTGTGTGTAGTTCTGGACACAGTTGGTCAAAGTACTGTTCACTTGTCTCTAATTAAAATTAACCTTTTCATTCCCAAAGATAAGCATTTCATTTCTCCCAACAGTATCACCCCTGAATCATACATTAAGGTCACGAGAATAAAGAAAATGATCATAAACTCAAAAAGCTCTTGATTGTTAGACAAATTCTCGTTTTAAGCACAATAGGACAAGTAAAGAGAGTGGTAAGAGAACTTGCTTACTGATGTTAGGGTGTAAAGAGTTCATTATTAACTGGAGATACTTTATCTTACACATTCATAAAAAAGTTATCATATGCCAAGGTTAGTAGTGGGTTTGAAAAATTAATTTACCTAGGCTTTGCACTGACCTGATTTTGCAGGTCTTGAAGAGCAATGAGATGCTGTTAAAGTATAGGAAAATTGATAATGTAATTGTTAAATTGACAAATAAAAAAATTAGGTGATCAAGACACAATGTTGAATGCCATGTAGTTTTAGTTTCTCTACATTTGGAAGAGTTAGATATGCTCTACTATACTGAAGAAATGTAAAATGGTTTCCATGTTTACATAGCCTGATGTAAACACACGGGAGGTTGGGAGAACACAAGATAAGCATAGGAAACCATGACGCGAAGCAGAGTGGTTTCCAGCTTATCAAGTGTTCTCCCAACCTACCAAGTGTTTACATCAGGCTATGTAAACACGGAAACCATTTTACATTTCTTTTATAAAATAACTAATGAAAGAGGAACAAAAACCGTGTTTACATACGCTCATGTAAAATGGTTTTATGGCCAATCAGAGCATGCGTACTATTTGAATTATTTTATAAAGTTGTATGATGAAGACATTTACAATAACATAATTTTGACCCTAAAGCTATTTTAATTGTAATTCCAATTGACTTCCTCCTGATCATTTTAACATGAATAACTATGCATTAATTCAGGAATATTAATAAAAAAATAAAGAAACTTGTAAATACATGTAATTAAGGAGATAACTGGCATACCAGGGAGGTAAATCCGAATTTTCACAAAAACAAACAATGACTTTTTTCTAGAACAACAGACTTATGGGGCAAGTGGTTGTTGCCAAGTAGAGCTGCTACAGTGTTGCACTGTGGTAAGATCCCACAATTAGGGTAAAATATGCTTATAAGAAAGCTGTACAGCTACAGGACTCACACTACATACTGGAACTCCAGAGATAAACATGTCATTTTAAAGCCTATGAGGAGCAAGTACTATTTAACTAATGGTATAGTTTCGATTGGTTTCCAGCATATATTTTGATGAGATATTTAAGTGCTCAGTAATAGTTTTAAATCAGAAAAAAAATTAGGCTCATTCATTTAATTTGTTGAACTGTAACACAGAAAAGTCTCAGGCTGGTCAGTAGATAATATTAGTAACAGTCAGTCAGATGTCTGTGTGTCATGTTCTTTTTTGTCCTGTGAAAGTAAAACAGAAATAACCACTCAACGGTTGAAATAATAGCTCCTTAAAGAATCAGTTGTCAGCCGCCCTCCACGAGAATCTGCCTGCTGTGACAGCTTTGTGAAAAGGGGCTTTGCATGTACTGCTGTCACAAAAATTCTAGTGTCACTTATTGCATTGCTGCTACCATTGCACAATGCAATTCAAACAATTTTGAATTTGTGGAAAGGGGGAAAATGTTGCCAAAACAAAAAAGTATTGCAATATGAAGAAAACTGTTGTTGCAGCTTGTCCATACAGAATGTAGCTTTGTGTGTTATGACCTTTCAATAAAATGTGACTTCCTATCCTGAAATTTGAGCCTCTATTTGGTTATAAGCAGATATATAAAAGGAGTACAAGTCCATACAGCAAGGCAGTTTTAAGATTCAAATTATGAAGAAAGGTAAATAAATTACTACAATTTTAATTTAGCATTCCCTTTTGAAAAAGTTGTAAAAATGTATTTACAGTACTGACAAAGACTGCTGCTTAATAAGTAGTGTTCATTACTGTGAAGATCCCTCAAATTATATTTGTTTCTTTGTCAGCAGTTCAAACATGTAATTTTCATATATTTACAGTCATTTACTACAGAAACTGTATATGCAGTAACCAAAAAATAAAACCTCCTGAGGGCAAACAAAAAACAAATTATTGTTATATTAATTACCTCTATGGAATGAGCACCATTAAGAGCCATGTTTCCAGATGTTTTAGTGCATCTTCCAAAGCAGTTTGAGAGCTTGGAATAGTCAAACAACAAGGCTGGGTCTATTCTTTCAGCGTCATGTTTTTCTACAATTGAAAAGTAACATAGCTTGGTAAGGGATGAGTGCACCAAAAATTAAAGAAAGTTTGAAGAAAGATAGAGATAAAAAACAGAAAAATAAAAACAAACTTACATGAAAGGAAGGGAGGAGGACAGGAAGAAGAGATACAGATATGTAAAAACCTCAGAAAATATTAATCAAAATGAAGCCCTTAAACTCTCAAGATCAGATTCTTCATTCTCCCTTCTAGATGCTACACATTTTGTTGTTAATCAGTAAAGATAACTTTGTTGTTGATCAAGATAACAACTTCTACCTGATACGTTGGAGTATTCTCATGATCTGTTTGCAGGATTAAGTATGGATATTATGGGGAGAAGATACATGTAAAGGGTTAAGCAGTCAAAGTTACAGTAAAGACACTCTTCACCAGACAAATCTATCTACAGCCATTTTGACAAGTAACTCCAGAAAAAAAATTAATACAAAAAATAATTAAATTGGAAAATAAAAGTGAGAGCCAAAAGATTTTATGGAAGCTAGGATCCTCTATTTTGAAAAAAGATCATTATATAATTTTGTTGACTTTTCAGTTTTAGCAGGCACAATCTCCCACAATCACTCACTAAATATATAACTGGCAAGGTATCCAATGATGTATGTGATAACAAATCCTATGACACCATACCAAAAGAATGAAATCTCGTACACAGAACTAGGTTGTATCCTGAAAAGAAAAAGTCAGTCACAGTAAGTGTGTACTAAAACAGTGGATGGCACAGAAGACAAGCTCTGATGGGCTACTCAAACTTTGATTATCTTTTTCTATTCACCTACAAGCAATGCATGTGTGATTTTTGCATGAAAATATTTAACCATTGCAGGAATAAATGAGTTAAAATCATCTTTTTGTGCTATGTTATCTCACTGTTTTCATATAAACTAAAACAACTCTTCACCTCAGTGTCTGAAGCTAGCAGTGGATATTTACCTCACAGTTTTGTAGCTCAGAAATATACACCACTAGTCACCTCCACTTTGTCACACAGTTGTTAATTATTATGTGATGTGGAAAATAAAGGAGGAATTTGGCTCGCAGAAAAAAATATGCTTGCTCTCTTGCTCAAGGTTCCATTACAGTAACTATGTTATTATAGAAATCATGCACCATCTTCCACAAGTTATTTTTCCAAGATCATTACAATGAACACCATACCGACAATTTGTTCTAAATGGTAACATAACATAGAAGTTCGCTCCTGTTTATAAGTTACCTTTGGGCTGGTTCTACATATGACATATTAACATTAGTGAAATTGCTTGGACAACCAGATATAGACATAGGC